CACTCACAACTGCACACCCGTTATATACAATTCCCTTCGTATCTCCTATTACTGTCATAACTTTTTAATAAAGCTTCAAACGACCCATGTTTGTATAACATTTTTCTCTGTCTTGCGCCCGTAGAACATACTGACAAAGTTTGATCGGGAAAAAAACTGGGACACCCTGTATAATACGTATATATGCACATATGTATGCTCCTTCGTCGAGCGTTTGTCACGGATAATAGTATGCAAACGAATATTTCGCAAACAGTATGCAAATAAATGCCATAGGCTAAATATGGAGATGTCTGCCTTTCTTCCTGTCTTTCGCCAGTCTTCCTCTGCCTCTCGCTCTTCTTCTCCTTTTTTTTTCCGCGTCACGTCAGAATAAGTTAATACGTCTGCGTAAACGCGACGGAAACGGCTCTCGAGCTTCAGGTAGTACGAGGGGCGGCAGGAATTTTCTCGCGTTTTACAGTACAGTGCACAGTTGTACGGGAGGTTAGTTTCGGCTTGTAAAAATCCCGGCTGCAGCAGACGCAGCCGAGTTCTCCATTTTTTTTCCATCCCTTAGGATCGCGTACGAGTAGAGAGTGAACTACTACGACTACTCTTGCAGCGGCGAGGTAATGCCGCCGCTTCCGTGGATACTTTACCCGCGCACACATCCTCGCGTTGTTTTCGAATCTCTTCCTTTTTTTTTTCTTCTCGTTCCTCTTTCTTTTTCTTCAGCTTCCGTTTGACGCTGCAAATTTATCTAGTTACCATTAATAATTGCAGCTTACGCGTGTTGTACATTCTGTACGCTCGGGTGTCGTTGAAATTACGAGATATTTAAAAAAAAAATGGACATCTTTTTTCAGGTTTTATTTAGACATAGGAGAAATACGCCGATCAATTAGAACGATTTAGTTAGCTGGAGTAACGAAGAAAAATTTTTCGGCCAGTTTTCCTTGCTTTCGTACACTTTTCGGAGAAGTTACGTTTCCGTAACACCGCGGCTTAGTTTTTTAACGAAATGCGAAATTGCAGAGGAAACCTGTTGACTAACTAAATAGTTCCTTTAATTAAAGCACTTGTTTAAGTAGTACAAAAGGTTTTGCAAGAATGAGAATTTCTCTTTTTCAATTACAAAGTCTGACCGCTTTTTATATTTTGCAAAATCAACCACTGTGAAACTGGAAATCTCTTGTTCTACCTTTTTGTTTCTTTTTTTTTTTTTGAAAACAAACATTTAGGAATTTCAATTTAGTTTTTAATCCAACGTATACATTTTCTGCTTCGAACTTCCTATTGTATTTCCTAACATCTACAATTAATTCCGTGAAATATACACCGAACAGAGAGTTCGGTTGTTCCGCTAACTAATTACACACGCAGCCATTATATTCCCACTAACGAATGCCTCATAAAAGGGAAACAATTCTCAGATCTATAGGCTGCGGGCGTTGTCGTAAGGACACCACGATACCCCAATGGCTCGTACGGGAGTGAACGTGCTAACACAGAGAACACGCTTAAATGTTCTACGTAAATAGAATCGCGTAGTGCGAGTATGGGTACGATCGTCGGTACAAAAGTTACGCGACGTTTCCAACGACGACGTTTCGCAATGAAGATAACATCATTGGACGAGGGTGGCGATTATCCTGCCAAAGGTGCGAACTATTTTGTTCATTAAATAGTTGACCCGACCCCGCGCGCGTCCTGGCTTATATATGAGCTCGATTTTAACGGGCCTTGGGAAGTCGTACGATCCATTATCGTTCCAGCCGCTGTTTCCAAGCGAAATTTCACCGGATTCCCACTGGGAGTTCTGCCGTGCACTTTGGTGGCTGCTCCACAATACCTACAATCTGTTTCTTCCGTTTAGCACCGTAATTGCGCTATTATTACGAGTGCTGCGGTCCATCGCCACGATTCCTATTTCTCCGGCCATTTATCCAGCTGCGAACTCTTTTCAGGAAATGGTGCGTGCACGCGTGCAGTTTTCTGGGGATGTTGGGTTTGGGGACAGGTATTTAAAATGTTTGCAACAACAACGAATATTTTTGTAACTTTAGACTCGATAATTATGATTACAGTGTTTCTATTTTCTGTGAACACTTCAACTCTTATTTGTCTATAACTCTCGCTCTCTGACTATTTTGTGCGCGATTTATTCACCCTGTTTTACTCTCTTTCTATAGTTCTTTCGCTCGGCGCGGACATTCTCGAAACCCTTTCGGTCATTTTCACCCAAATTTTTGGTCGATCACACACTCTTCGTTCATCTAATACTCTCGTGAACTCGGTTTAAACACTTTTCGTTCGCACCTCCGTCGCCTCAGCTCTAAGCATTCTTCGTTCACGCATCCATCGCTCTAGGCTAAAATTCGCACGAAAAATCCTATCACACGTCTATCTCTCTGGTCCAAACACTCTTCGTTTGCGCATTTATCTTTCCGCTCCAAACACTCGCTTAAATATTTATAGTTTCGATTTGTCATTCCCACGCATATGTCGCTGGTTCGTCGTGTAAAACCATTATTGAATGATCTCACTCAGTTGGTACATTCGATTTCAAAGAGATTTCGATTCGGTTGAAATTTTTCGATGACGTTGGATAATTGAAATGGACGTAAAAATTTCGGAAATGGAAAATATCGCGGTATATCGTAAATGTGGATGGAGAATTTCTGTTCCTCGTATAACGATGGCGCGGTAAAAAGCTGTGGAATGAAAGGAAAATACGATGTCAAAGGAAAGGATAACATTTATCGAGAGAGTTATGAGGAAATGAACGAACAACACACGTACCAACGAGTATCTCTTGGATCGAGAGTTGAATCGTGGAGGACAGGAATCTGTTACTACTTGTACACAGTGTTTCGATGCGATAACCTTTAATTTAGAAATGTACAAGGAGATAAAATAAATATTTTATAGTGTACGCATGTTTTGATATTTATTTGGAATTTCTTTTCTGACTTTCTCTAAAAATGCATATTTCTTAATTGATTTTTTAATATCACGACGATGTTTATGAAATATTTACGAAATAATTACTTAAATTGTCTCCTATTTTTCTCACGGTGGTAAAAGTAGCGGAGTCCTCCGGGACGGAATATTTAATGAAGTCCTATCGTGGAAGGAAAAGGTACTATTTACATAGTAGAACTTCGTCGCGGTCCCCGTGGGTTATATGCATTCTGTTTTATTGTTCCCTTTCCCCGGAACACGATTTTATAAAAGTCGCGCCGGAACTCGTCATACATCATCTTCACAGGCATGATAATTTTTTATTACTATCGTTATATAAATTAACAACTGTGAGAAGTATTTTATTCTCAATTGCACTCTTAGGATAGGTATTCATTATACATATGCTTCTTACTCTAATTCTATTTCTGTTAAAATTCAAATAATTTTCATTCGAAATGTGCTCTGAAAAATTAATAAAAACAAAAACTGAATTCATAAATGAATGAAAAATATCAATTTGAATAAAACGATCCGATTAAATTTCAGTAAAAAATTTATTTAAAAAATTAGCGAACGATAAGAATTCATTGTGCTGCCAGAGATATTGCTATCGCGTTGTTCGCCGTACGTCTTTGAATTTTGCGTAGCAATTGTCATATCGGTCGAGCAAATGAGCAGAAGATAACTGGAAAGAAGGTAATGCTACGTGTATACATAAGCACTCTCGTTTCATACGTTGTACATACACGTTTCTATCGCGTTGGCTACATTCAAGAAAGTTCTCTGCACCAGATATTGACAGGGTCGAGTCACCGGAAGTATGATCAAGTGTACTGTATGCATGACCTTAATGCGCTCGATACTCGTTTTCTTAAATCGGTCAAGGCTTTTCAGATGCATCTCCATTCGAGTCTTATGTGTGCAACGGTGTTCAGTATCGACGAACAGAGTGCAAAAAGTAGGTAGATGTTTGAACATTTAGGTTGAGTTATTACACACGGCGTTTATCGCGAAACGACTCGATTCAGTTTTTTAATTTTCGACAGAATAAGGAGGCTATTTAAAAATTTTCCTAATGACAGATAACGAAGAATTTCAAGTAGCAATGAAATATTTCGTTTTCATTTCACTCGCATAAATTGGCACAGAAAGGGAGTCGAAATTGAAAGGTAGGATGACTTTAATCATGCAGACGACACAATTCATTTAAATCTCATTCAGCTATAATTACTCGTTCACTTGGGGAACGAGTATAACTGTAACAGGGAGAGAAAAAAAGTTTGATAATTGTAAAGGAGATGGAATGCCCAGACGTGCTTGATTAGACTGCAGCATCCCTCTAATAGTTTACCAAAGTTTGGTGTTTTATTTTTGCATTACTGCTGGTAGCAGCAAGAACCTGACGACGTTGTAATTAGGACGATAAAACAGGCAACCCGGCTCTGTTTTAGACAGACCCAATACGCCGTTACCAAGGACTTCGTTTCTTATCGTAAAACTTGTTTACACGGTGTTTTGCAGCGAAATAGCTGTGGCATGATTTTTGCTCCGGGAACTTTGCCGAACAAAGTTTCCAAGTTATAATCATAGCCATATTTCGCTCGACGTTTCAGTTTCGTATGATGTAAATGATACATTACTCTCTTTTCCTTCTTACAACTTCCGGTTCAAAGTAGACGTTCATCTTCCTGCATTTTTACTTCGTATCAGTTTCCTTTTTAATCTTCTCATTTTTTACTTTTTTCCTCACTGAGCGTGGTATTTAATTTTTAGTTTCTTTTATCACACTTTCATCACACCATTGTTATCAACAGACTGTTATTTGAGTTACTCAGGAGCCAAAGTGACTCTCTAAAATAAAATTTATTAAATTTGTTTTATTTACGAAAAATTAAGCATAAAGCTTGTGCTTTGATATTAAAATTGGAAGAATATCAAAAAGTGGAGGCTTCTGAGTGGCCCATCTATGAAACAGAAGAATTTGAATTTCTGAATGTTATCAACAGACTATTATTTATAAAACAGACGAATTCTCTGGTTTCTCTATGCAGTTGGGATGTCGACCATGGAACCTAAGTCTGACCAGCGTGGTTGTTCTCGCTCTCTCCAACATGCTGTTGACTTTCCTGTTGCTCCAGTCAGAGACCTGCAACCCGGACGAAGTGCCCAGGGATTTGGAGTCGAACGTTATTACCGAATGGAATCTCGGTACCTTAATCAAAGAGCAGCAGCAACAGCAGTCGGACTGCGTTACACAAGATTATCAACCGTTGCCAGCTGACGCGAACGGTTTAAAGCTGAACATAAAGCTCGGCAGATGGGACGCTCGTAGGCTGTTTCGAACCTTCGATCACGTACTCGTCGGGGCCAGTTTCGTCGAGTTGTCGCAAGCGTATCGCGTTTGCTTGGCCACGCAAAGTTCCGTGGAAAAGTTGCACTCGGTGGTTCAAGCGGCTCATCATTGGACAGGACCGATGTCCGTAGCGTTGTACGCAGCCGGTGACGAAGAGTTCGAGGTCCTTCAGAAGTACCTGGTCTACCTCAGAAGATGTTACGAACCGATACGCGAAAGAGTGACATTTTCCTTGGCCGTGCCAAGGATCAGACCGCCTAAGAAGCAGCCACGCGAGTTCGAGCTACCTGAGGTGGTCGATTGTGCCAAACCGGAAGGAACGTTGAACGAACTGATGAACGGTGTCTCCACTGAACAGACAAACTGGCGGATAAGAAACGTCTATCCGCAGAATCACATGAGGAATCTGGCTAGGAAGAATTGCCAGTCGGATTACGTGTTTTTGACGGACGTCGATATTGTGCCGAGTTTCAATTTAACCGGAGCTCTGGACGAGTTCCTGAGGACTGATACCTGTGATAAGTGCGCCTACGTGATACCGACGTACGAGCTGGACTCGCGCGTCAGATTCCCTCAGAATAAGACGGAGCTGGTACGACTGGCGAGAAAGGGGCTGGCCAGACCTTTCCATCAGAAGGTCTTCATCCACAACCAGTTTGCCACCAATTTTACCAGGTGAGAATTTCTTTCGATTTCCTTCTTTTAGAGTTCACGAAGAATTGTTAATTTTTTATTTTTTGTTTGTTATAGTTCGTAAAGAATTAATATTTTATTTTTTTATCTGTTTCTGTTCCAGGTGGATACTAGACGCTACTCCTAATCACAAGAATTACGGGAACGTGAGGAGCGGTAAGGTGTATATCAGTCACGATGTGACGAACTTTGAATTTCTCTACGAGCCGTTCTACGTGGCCAAGGATATTGTTCCAGCCCACGACGAGAGGTTCATGGGCTACGGATACACGAGGAACACTCAGGTACGTATACCATACATCCCTATTACACAACTCTGCTCCTCTGGGATCGTATAAATTCTTCACGCAAGTTCGGAATTCGATCGAACGAATGCGACGAATTATTAACATTTGCCGGATATTTGAATTACCCGCGTTTAACTCGATCAATTACACCCGGCCGAAACACGGCTAGATTTCCGGCGATAATTTTTGTCGAAACCGAACGGTCGCGAATCGAATTAAAACGCGAGTTATATTGTGAACCGCGTAATTACTGGCCGCGTTTTTTACGTTGTCGGGAACATTCGAACAAATGAGAATTCGTGCATCGACCGGGACGATATTAAAACGCGGAAAAATGGAAAAAATGTGTGCTCGCGCGATACTCGTGCGCGAACTGGAGGGAAATCAAATGGGAACACCGGTGGAACACGCTGTAGTTTGGTAGTAGGAAACTCGAACGAGTAAATCCCACGCGCTGGCCACATTAATTGAATTACATATTATCGTTGCCGGCGTTATCGCGCGACGAAAACAAGCATTATTCAATTTAAACTTGATACGTCTCGCGTTGTCTAATCGAACGTTTGCATATCGAGGATACACTGTCCGGTGTCCAAGCGAGGGTTAATTCGTGTTCCAAACTGTACTTTCCTCGCCCGTTAACAATTTACCAGCGAACGTCGCGTTATTCACCGTAGCCGGACAAACTGGAGGCTCTTGTGGTGTTGTTGTGTCGAGAGGAGATATGGGGAATCCAATTTTCATTTTAATTCGATATTTGAAAGATTTATTTAGTAGATAGTTGTGTAGAAATTTTGTATTTCGTATTTTGTAAAACTTTGTTTATGTTGTACGTCAAGAATCTATTTTTAATTTTTTTATAGAGAAATTTTATAAACCAAAATTGTATAATCGTATGTTCAAATAGAGTTACATATGTATGTATACAGAAATATTAAAAGGAAACCCAACAGGACTTTCATACGCACGTTCTAAAGTCACAGTAGAATAGGTCCGTACGAGTCAGACACAGTACCAGTAGTATACTCTACGGTAAATCCTCCATCCACTATATACGCTGATTTCCACACGTTGTTTCCAGAATCCATTCACCTGGATACCAATCCTGACGAAAAAATTCTCTTTACAACTCGTCAGTCGTAACTTTTACAACCCGCAACATCCTCTCCCTCGCGTTAAAGTTTCTCCCATTTCTCTTCTAACGTGGTTTCGTCACCGATCAACTCGAGAACACGACACACGCGCTTAACCGCGAACAATGAGAGCGAAGAAGGAACGAGACGCGTGTCTACGCGTAACCATGTTCCATGGCATAACGCATCGAGCTCTTTTTCCCAGGATGTTCGCGGAACAGCCCCGTTCGGGGTTCCTAGTGGAAATAACAAAATTCCATCGTGTGGTGAAAATCCGGCCGCGACGTAGCTCCGGCGTATTCGTAAAACGAAGTATGCCGCAGCAACGGCAATAAAACGGGTGTAAATCTGCATGGCCACGTAGCGGCGGTAACACCGGCGCAAAACAGGCGTACACAGTCGTGAGTGTAAGCTGGTGTACACGGTAGCAAGCGTAACACGCTCCCCGTCCCGAGAAACTACGTGCCCCGTACATTGGTATTCGCGTCTTCTCTGCGGTTCGTTCGCACAACATCCACTCCCCACGGAGGAATGAGAATGGATATCGTTCGCTTTTCCAACCCTCTTGTATTTCGCTGTACACGAGCCCCTGTCGCCTTTCCCCCAACTCCGCGTTCACCCCTTGCATACTCGGGATCCAATACAATCCTGTCGCGCCATTCTTTCGCCGAGCAACCGGTTTCCCTCGACCTTCGTGCTCCTCCTCGGTTTGCTCCGTTTTGTCCTTCCTCTCCTCCTCCTCCTCCTCGTTCCATCCTCTTTTCTTCAGCATCGCGAACGCATCACACGCCAGATTCTCCACCCCGTCTGGTTTGTACAGAGCGCGCGTTGTTTAGGTTGCCTCTAGCCAGAGCAACACGTTTCCGGTGTCTCGTGAACGAGACAAATTCGAAGCGGCTTTTCGCTGCTCGACGAACCGGTACGGGGAAGGTATTCTGTGTTCATTTGAGCAATTAGCAGGCTGGTGAATGCGTTCGATGGATGAATAAGGCACTGCCAATTTTCGGGATTTTTGACAGCAAGGATTATATTGATTCGGTATCGCGATTTAATTCATTATTGTCGTATTTATCGACCACGACAATCAACGTCCCGAAGGAATTGATATCTAAGCGTAACTGCGCGATGGATTGATCCTAGCTCCCACTTGTCTGGGAATGTGCTGTTGCTAGAGCTGCTACGCTCTGTTATTTTCGTGAGGTCGTACCTTGTTATTGCAAACCTTTCATTTCAAGTCTAGCGTTAAGTAAGCTGATAGATCCAACCTTGAAAGCTGAAATTTTCAATCGAATAAGTATTACATTTTTGAGAATTCTTTTTAATTTCATGTCTACTGTTGAGAAAACTCATAGATCACTCTTTTAGAAGCTGAAATTTTTAATCGAATAAAGAATTCCTTTCTAATCTCACAAATTTATTTACGATTCACTACGTTGCATCTTAATACATTTACCCTATTCATTCTAACCAGGAAAGCTCGAACTCGACAAGACAGCATCCCTATGGGAATGTCTCACCCTGTCGAAATCAGATTCGAGAAACACGTGTCGAGAAACAGTTGCGACAAACTCCTCTGAAAATATTACCCTGTCGCAACAAGCGAGCGTTCGAAGTCTCAATGACTTTCGTAGCGATTCGTTTCAATATGGACCTTTCGACGTTCATTTCGAAGATTGACTTTCGATCGGCTACGAAATTGATTCGGACGCCGTAGAATCCTCTAGCCTGTTAGAGTAGCGAGACACGCGACCTACCGTCCGTGGGATGGCCAGACTACGCGCAGGTGGCACGAATCAAAGGGAAAGAAGATAGCTGCTGGCCTCACCTGGCTCGTGCTCGTCGATTGAGCGATTACCTCGGCGCGAGTCGTCAATCAGGAAGCGGGGCCGGCCTGAATGGCGCGATTCGAGTTCATTGAAAGCGAACGAAGCACGAAGTTATTTCCACGGATCCACGAACCGAGGTGTGTTCTTCCATCTCTCACCTTCTCCTCGTCTCTCTCTCTCTCTCTCTCTCTCTCTCTCTCTATCTAACGAATAAAATTTCATCGAAAAGATTAATCAGCTTTATTAAAAGTTCACCAATCTGATTCGTTGCTTCCATATCTGAGACGAGGCGTTTTCTTCCTGATATCTCTTTTTCTATTTTCGCCTCGCTTCCGCCGCTTATTAGCCGGATAAAATTGCCGGTTGAATGCTGGCTGGTATCGATATGTTGTAATTAACTCGATTCCGATAAAGACGTTACCGTTGACAGTGAACCGTGCTCACGGAGCCTTTTCAGATGTATCGATGTAGATGATGAAGGCATTCAAGCATCGAGAAAGAAAGGTGCTTGGAAAAATTGAAGTTTAACGAAAGTTCTCTCTCCCTCCTGATGGAAACTTAATCGTCGATACTTTGTTCTCGGTAGTATTATAACAATTACCAGGTTTCGATATGTTTAAACAAAAGATTCGTCGTTACTTGATAACGAGTTCTTTCGAATAATTGCTACGGTAACGGTATGATAGTTCTCATTGTTGATAAATTTCATTAGCGGAGGAATTAATTTCGTTGTAGTATCGTTATGTGTGAATATCGTATAGGAGCTTAAGCAATTTCCTGGAAACTTCATTATGTCTGTATTACGAATTTACCGCGTGCTCTAATCTACGTTACAACCACGATGTAACAGATTGAAGTGCTTCTGTCTGCGGTTAATATTTTCATGTAAAGTTTACTATCCTCGTTATCATTCAATCAGTGTCAATTTCAGCCTGTATTTTTGTAAATATCAAAAAAACACGATCTACTCACTTGAAAATTAATTTACATTAATTAACGCGTCCTGAAGATTACCATAATTATCGTTCAATATACAATTCGTACGTTGTTAATCAATTCGTACGGGAAAAGTCTGATAAATTCACGGATAATTCAGTCACACTGTCCTATTGACTACGTCAGTTCCATTCACCTCAATTTTATGTATAATGCATCCGCGCATTCCCATCTCTCAATTACTCCACTCTATCGCGAGAGGTTTACCATCGCCTAACAGCTGGCAATTTAAGCGGCGACGACGGCCGACGTACGTTTAGATCTCCTTAAAAGAGTTTACCCACAGAAATCCCCGCATTAAAATCACTGCCAGAGATCTCCATCCATCGTGAGGAACCCGGCCGAAATGGAAGGGTCTCTGGCAATCCGCTCTTTCGCCAGTGGCGTTTTATCCGTCGACACACCTTCGCCAAAGGCCTCGCCGGGTAATGTAAGATAAGTGAAGACACGTTACGCTGGCCCGCTTTATTCGCCAGGATTTATACCGACGTGCCATCGCATAAAACTCAATTATCAGATTCACTCGGCCTGGCCGCCACAGAGCCAGTTTCACTTGCCCACTGTTATCCGATGAAAAATTATGCACCGCTGTTTACCAAACTTACCGGATCCGGTGGATGCATCGTCACGTAGGGCCCTGATGGTGTATTCATCAACGAATCTTTTTTTTTTCCACGAGCAAGGACCATTTCGAGGAAAAGAAACCACCACTTACACTTTTACCACTGTTTTTTTACCAAGAGTGAAATTACTTTTCAATCGAGCGTAGATTTCTAGGAACCATTTGAAGGGATTTTACTCTATTTTGCATGTTTGTTCGGTCGATTTGTTTGGTTCTGGAATAGCATAGGTTTTAGAAGTAGTGTAATAGAGTCGGATGATTCGAAAGTTCAGAGAGAGTTGTAAAAATTGAATTTTCTATCCTGAATACTTTACCAGTCTCGCAGACTTTTAGTTTTAATCCTAGAATATGTTACGTGAAATCCATTTACGAGGGAGAACATTTCTTTACAGCTTTCACGTCTAACAGGCCGATGTTTCA